ATTTAGATTTTAAATTTTATGAGAACAATGCAACATATTTCAAATACCCGTAACACTACATGTAGATAACGAAAAATGTATCTAAGTATTTAAATAAAATAGAAATTAAATTTAAAAAATAGAATTAAAAATAAATAAGAACTAAAAAAAAATAATAATAATAACTCAGGCACGAGTTATACGCTTTAAACGCTTCCTTAGCAATCATTATACAAAAAGTATAATAACAATCGTGTTATTCTATTTTACAAGGTTTTGGGATGATTTTTTAAAATAAAAATAACTTAACCCATTCAAAGCATATAGCAACCAAACTTCTAATTAAATGTCGTTATAAAAACTTATTTTCAGTAAAATATCTTAAAAATGAAGTTTTTAAAGCATGTTTAGATAGTAATTACAATCATGTGTTCCATTGTAAAATATAATAATTTCTGTAAACAAATAACTAACTACCAAAACCTAATTTAGTTTATTACCATATATTTACTCTTATTTCCGATTTCATATTTATTCTCAATGGTACAAAATAATTACAATTCTGTCGATTGACATTATTATGATGTAGAGGAGACACATTTTTGCAAATTCCACTCTGGTTTATATTGTGTCAGTCATTGAATTCAAATAATATTAACTTCAACAGTCACTCAGATGTCAGTTATATAGAGACAAGTGAAATTTTATTCCACAGATTATTCTACAGATTTATCGGTAATTTTATTCGGTATGTTTATAGAAGTATAATGATAACTCTTTTAAAAATAATTAACTTGTTTAATAACTTCCATTATACATAGTAAAAAATTTCAGAAACTAATTATGAATCTACAAAAATGTTTCCAAAAATCTCCGAGAATTTTACTTAATATCATGTTTCCGATCAATTCAAAAACATCTCTTTCATTTTCAACAGCAGGAAATTGAATCGCATTCAGTTTCAGAGTGTAGCGTAGCACTACGACTATTAAATTCCAATTCACTTGTATATAAGACATGTTAACTCGATTCTATCTTGTGGAAACTTTTTATAGATGACGATTGACAATGTTGGTAGACAAGCCCAGATTTCCGTAAGCCAGAAACGCTTAAAAAATTGCTTCAAAACATTTAAGAAAAAAATAATAAACATAAAAAAAAAACTAAAAACCGAAACTGCAAGAAATGATTTAAAGTATTTCTGAAGTGCTGCGAAAAGTTTCTGAATAGTACAGAAAGAGATTTCCGGAATATTCAGAAACGTTTTGGAAATTACAAGCACCGTAGGCGTATACTCAGAAACATTCCTGAAATTTTTTTTGACAGTAATAAAATCAAAATGTACGGTATTTAAACCACTCATTTGATAATTTTTCAATTCAATTATAGTTCGTATAGTTGTAGTTCATTTTAGTAAAAAGTACAAAACTGGAGGAAAGTAAGTTTAACCGAATAAAAGTTTTTTATTCCATGCTTTGAGGTACTATGATAAAATTAACAAAATTAACAGATTTTATCGTATTGACCAAATTTTATCATTTCTAATGTAAACCGTATTTATTGTGAATTTTACCTAAATCATTACAAAAGTGCTTCGGTAAAAATTACCGATAATTTTGTTGTTCAAAAAGAGCCAGAAACACGGTTAATCTTATTAAATTCTGGCCATGTTTTTTTTTTCTCTTTTTTTTTTTTGTCAGTGTAAATAACGGAAAAGAAATAGCAAAATCTAAATTTAAGATGTTCCAACTGAAAATAGTAAAAATGTCTAGTTAGGCTAATATTTTTAGTGAGTAAGACATTCATCAACAAGAAAAGGAAGTTTTAACCGTTCAATTTTTGTTCAATCCATTTAAAAAGAAATAAAATAATAAAATCTATTAATTTAATTTCATTAAATCCTCACAATTTGTGTTTAGGAGTTTTTTGATATGTGTTTCGTTGTATTTTCTCTTTAAAAGATAATATTGAATACAGTATTTAAATAAATGGCCACAGTAAAAGTTTTAAACTTTCTGCGCCTATTTCTTTCTTTCTAGACATATTTTATTCATATAACAATTCCTCAATCTAAGAAAAAGTCTACATATAAGGAAAAAAATCATTGAAAAATTCTTCTTCTCTTCTGTAGTTCTACAGCCTGCTGCAGGCCAAGGATATAATAATAACTCCAAAAGATATTATTAGGTCATAATTTAAACAATTTATAATTTAACAATTTTTTGAATCAACATATCTTTTCTCCCAAACAAATTATATTTGAACTTGAACGGAGTTCGACTTTAATGTTCAAATTTAATGCAATTAATTCTTTCTAATTTTTTTCTTAAACTAAAACTAAATACGAGACTAAAAAATATTTTTAAAAAAAACTAAAAGCTAAATTTAAAAACTAAATTCAAAAATTAAAAACTAATATTTTACACGAAATAAATATTTTAAAAAAAGATTTCCTTCAAAAACCACTTCCTTTATTTTTATAAGCAATATTAATAAAAAAAAATTTAAAAATGCTATAAAAAATGAATTAAGGTTCCTGCTTTTAAATTTTTGTTAAAAACAACAACAACAAAAAAGAAAATTTAACTCACATTTAAGACATTAACACAACACATTAAACACATCAGCACAACCACATTTAATAAGAAGCTGAAGTATTTATAAAAAATGTCTATACATTTTAATTGGTTTATCTTTTTTGATTAACATTTTCCGAAAATATTTTACTATTCTTCTGCTGGGTTCTGTCTAATTTTAAAGTAGGCAGAAAAGATTTCAGAATCTCTTATCAGGTAATGAAAGGTCATTTAAAAGAATAACAGCAAGTAAAGAATAATTAGTATA